AAATTAATCAAATAGTCACGAAAGAACCACAGGGAAGGAGTACAGAACACTGGTGGGTAGACTTTTGGCAGCAATCATTGCAACAGTTTTAATGAGAGGAAAACACATTCTCAAGTAAATTAGAGAGTAATGACATGATTAAATGGTAAATAATAGTTAAATACATGCTTGGAGGTCCATGACAGAGACTGTGGAGATTTTCTGTTTTGCGTGTATTCCTCTCCAGGCTGCTCTGAGTAGCCAGAGGAGCTCACCAGAACTCTGCCTTTAATTTAGGGTCGGATTGTCGCTTTTAAGACGCTGAAGCCGAAAGAGCTGTTGGGGCCCCACTGCTGAAGCTGAGAAAGTGGAGGCTTTCTCCATAACTCCAAAGTTTCGCCAGCCTTTCGGTTGTTAATGTGTCCTTGTTCCTCTACCAGCTGCCTCCCCTGAGCAAGGGCCAGCGCCACAGCTCTGTTCAGCCTGCTCTCAACCCAGAAATTCACTGTGCAGGAGACATCTGCTCTCCTTATGCACAGTGGGGGAGAGGAAAGGAGTCTGTCTTCTTCTGAGGCAGGTTTAGTCCCCACTAACTGCGTGTTTGCACATTTGCTGGCAAGGAAATTGGGTTGCATATATGACTGTTTATGCAAACGAGTGCTGCAGCACTGTCTGGGAGTGTACCCCATCCATGAGGTTCCCTTCCCTGTCTGCTGAGGAAAGGATGTGAAAAGAATAACATCCACAAATTGTCTTTGTTCTCAAATGTTTCTTTCTCAGAATGGGAGGCTGTACACACAAACCGACTTGTTAGTTTTACTTTGTCTAGCTATAATACACAACACAGTTGTGTGATGAGTCCATTGGAGGGGAACTGGCCAGGTTAAGAGGTGTTTTACCTGCCCTCTGTTTGCCACTTTCCATTTCAGATTGTCACAGTAAGGATACCTCAAAAACAAAAATAAAAAACTGAAATAACTCTGGATTCTCTTTGTTATAGGGTTTAACAGTTGTTTCTTCGTTTTCAGTAAGTCCAGGTAGAGTATAGTTGCTCCAGCAAACTTCGGTCAAATGAGGCAGAAGCCTCACCTGTGTCATTCCTTAATGTTTGGCAGAACTAAGAGAAGTGCATGGGGAGCTTGTCTGTTACAAAAGAAAACAAAACAAAACAAATCAAAAACCAACAGTGCCCTTACTGGGACATCAGTCCACTAAAAGGTGAATTAATTGCTTAGATGGTAATTCAAGTGATCAGCACACTGCGTCCTTCAATAACAGCCTGGCAGCTTACTCATTAGTATAATACAGTATTGACTTTCTCTCTTTCTGCCTTCCCACAATAGGATATTTTCTTACATAAAGCTGAATATTGTATCTCCTCCACTCCTAGCACTGTAGGAGGGGAAAGGGTATAATTAAAAAGTACATGTTATGGTTTAATTTTAGAAGTTATTTTTACTTCAAAGGTTGGCAAATAACTCATATACTATATATTTCTCCAATACATAACATGGTTTATTATGGTTTCAGTTTTAATCTAGTCTTCTTTGCTTAGATGTACAATTGATCAGCCACAGGTTTTTTGTCAGGACAATGTAAACCAATTGGTGATCAGGATTTTCAGAGCTACTTAGTAGTGTTTTAATGTTGTTTCTTGTGTAAATCAAAGGTTTATCATTGTCTGTAATAGGTTTATAGCAAATGAATATTTAGTGCTCTTGTAAATTCTAACTTGGGTGTCTAAATATTGGATCTGTAAAGGAAAGAGGTACTTTTAACATTTAAATACAGAAATTATGAAAATATTAGTTGGCACAAAACCACACTCAGATTTTCCTAGCACACTGCGTGAACCTATTTTTTAAAAATGCTGCTACTTCTCTGAAGTACAAATTCACCGAGTACATTTACACGATCTAAGAAATACCCCTGTATGTATAATCTTTTCTAATTGACTAAAATGATTGGATTTTGAAATAATATTTCTTTTCTATTAGTATTAATATGTGACATTTTTGCTCATGTTTATAGACACAAATGTGGATATTGCCAAGACTATTTCAAGCCCTGATTAATAGATGCCTGTCATTGAGTCAGGTACTCAAACTCTCAATGGCCTGAAGGCACCTGCACCCTCAAAGAAGTAATGCTCATTTAAGGCTGGACTGCAAATCCAGCACTGATGTTTTGACATGACTTTCTGGTTTATAACTGAATTTTTTCTATGAAATGCCATTAATCTATAATGGTTATATACCACTGTGAAAGCACACAGTTTTAAAATCACTGTATGACAGCAGGCACAGTAGAAGGGCCAAGAACTGCTCCTGATTTCTAGAGATTCATATGAATTGGAAGATTCAGGATTCAAAATGCTGTCTGACTCATTTCTCACCTTAGTCAGTAGAACATTAAATCTGTGCTTGATCTCCTTATATCAGGAGAGTGACTGAATCTTTTAATGGTGCTTGTTACTATTTTCTTCTTGTTTTTTCTTAATTATTTGGCATGAACTACAGCCCATCTTAAAACCATTACTTGACTGGGACTCCTTTCTTTCCATTTTGTTACTTCTGCACTCCAGGGGATTTCCTAGAGGAAGCTAATATCTTTCCTAGCTTGCTACAGTGACACAGGATCCAAGTTTCTTTGTTAAGAATTTCCATAACTCACTCAGTCACTGGCAATGTTGGTATTGTTGGCTAAAGTTATTTCCTCCCTTTCTAGCAAGTCACCTTTACTTTCTCAGGGTAATTACTCTGAAGAAAAGTCCCCATCATGTTGATTTTGTTTGGCACACTTTATCTTGTTACCGTGATCTCTGTTGGGAAAGATGCTTTCTGTATGGCTCATTGCATCCTGACTCAGACAGGGATGATTATTATAACATTGATACTAGGAAAATCATTAGGAAACCTAGCAGGCAAACTAACATTGTAACAATGTCTACGAGTTATATTATGGATGGTTGCCTAAAAGAAAAGAAAGGCGTTGCCAGTCTTTATGTTTATTGCCATGCACACCTCAGAAAATTATGATGTAGCAGTAACAATATTTGTGGTCATATAAAATTTTCAAAATGTGGGGAAACATGACAGAGCTTTCCCTTCTTCACGGAAGCTGTATAACACAAAGGAAAATGGTGTCTTAAAAGTGCTGTTGAATTTCTCACAGACCCAAAGGGTGAGCTGTAGATGTGGGGAGTCTGTGCCTGTTCATTCTTCTTCATTTCCTTTAAATGCTATATGTGCAACTCAGTTTATGCTGTTGGCACTCTCTTCTTATGAATCCAAAGATTGCACGTGTAACATGCAGACAGAAATAAATCCTGTAGGTAAAAGAAAGTAGAAATTGGCTAAAGATCAAAGGTTATCCTCATTCCACTCCTTCCTTCATTTTTATTATCCTGTCTAAATTTGAACTTTTGTAGAGAGGATTGGGTGGGTTGTTTCTTTTTTTCATGAGGAAAGGTTGTGCTTAAATGAGAGTTTAAGGTTTTATTTGTTTTTCAACCCTCTATGTAATTTGAACCACAATGTAGTTAATTTGCTAGAATCAAAACTGCAGTTCTCAGAGGGTACAGAAGATTGTGGAGTGGCTTAAGGAAACAATATTTCACTTCAAGTGTTCTGTGATCATCTATAGATTAAGTGGGAAGTAGAGGGTCTTTTTTTGGTTGGATTTTTTTTGGGTTTTTTTGTCTGCACAGCTAAACCAAATCCAGTATTATTAAAGTCCCTGTTCTAAAAACAGTTGGCCATGTGCTTTAAAAAGTCCTAAGATGTAAACAGAACTGTAAGATTGCTTGTTTGCCAGATCAAGCCTTGAGTCTGTGTGTTGGAAAATTTATCTAGAAAATATGCTTTTAATTTTTGTAGTTTTTAATTTTTTATTACTTTCTTCACATAATAAAAATATTTTCCTGTCTTTATAGAGCTCCAGGCTTTAGCAGGTACCTTCTAAATGCTTTATTTAAGGCTATTAAATGCACTGGAATGAGTAATGGTGACCATCAGTAGAGCAACTAGAACAGACCAACTGGAAAAGTTAAGAACAAGATGTGATGGGTATTTAACTTCAATAGTTTCAAAGCTTTACTTATCATTACTCACTTAAAGGAGATTAACCAAAAACAATAGCTGTCCTAGGAAACTACCACAAAATTTCTCTCCAAAATCTTCTCTCCAAATTAACATTTTACATGCAATTTTTCTTGTTGTTAAAAAAGAAGTTAATTTTACTTTAATCACAGGTGAAATCTTTGTTGTAGTGTTTATGTAGTTATAGATCACTACATAAAGTGAATCACCATCATTTTTGGCTGTGGTACAGAATTTCTTAGAACATTGTTGGTCAGAAGTGAGCCATACTAGTAGAGATCTCTATGAGGTTCTGGACAATTTCAACTTATACCAAAACACTGAATCAAAATAAGTGGTGTAGTTGTTAGTGCTGCTTCCAAAAACATTTCAAAATGTATCTAAGAAGTAACATATGTTTCTACTATTTTTCTGTCCATGGTTGTATATTACACTCAAACACCAAATACAAAAGAAGCACCAATTTGTAAATAAAAAAATCATCGTCTTATTTGAAAAATACAAATATTTTTAATTATAGTATCATAGTTTAACTACAAATATTATTTGTTGTATCAATGCCATGAGTGACCAGGGTTATGTAAGATCTCTCTAAATAACATGGATATATGTTACATTGGTGTGCAAATAGGAAGAGAATCCAGGGTGATAATGCTTAACAGAGGTAAGAAGAGAGACAATCTCATGTTTCAACTAATCTCCAGCTATTAGGGATCAGTATGAGGGACATTATCTCACATCTGCCTCATACAAAATTCCATAGACCTAACTCTAGAGCATCTGGTGTGGGCCATAGTCAGAAACAGGACACTGGACTAAATATATCCATGAGCTTTCTACAATTCTCTTGCAGCAGATGTGAAATATGCCAGTAATATCTGTTCTGCTTTAATTATTTGCACTACTGTATTTGAATACTAGGTTTTGGTCACCTAACCAAGCAATTGCTGAAGCTAGCGGATGGCCGTGTTGTGTTGGCACTGGAGGGAGGACATGACCTTACTGCCATCTGTGATGCATCTGAAGCCTGTATAAACGCCCTTTTAGGAAATGAGGTAAAACATAAATCATAGTAGGTGGAGAGAATGATCCAAGTTTGATGAAATTTCTATCTTTGATTTTCTTTCAGTAACAATGGCATCAGTCCTTTTTTCATTTGGTATAAAAACCATGTAATTTGAATATGTCTTAGAAATGATCAGACCTTGGATGAGCTGATTTGGATAAACACATCTAAATTAGATGACTATATAAATCCTTTAGTGTTTCCCAGTTCTGAGTAAGGTTTAATACCTCAAAATTGCTTTTGGTGATGTTTTGTGAAATACAGACTTGACATCATTGTAAGTCATTGGTGTGCATATCATCTATAAGGATCAGACCTTCCAGCCAACTATCGTGGAAAAAAAAAAAATGGCTTTTATAAGGTATCTAGTAATCTTAGGATGTGGATATTGCAAGGACACATTTTTTGCAGTATTTTGACACTTCAACTGTCATGTGAAAGAACATATTTCAGAGGCTTTTGAAATTGAACATTAATAAAAATGTGTCCAAGACTTCAAAAATGGGTTTTTTTAAATGAATAAATGAAGATTCAGGTTGATCTGTATGTAATTTAAATGGACTGTCCAAGATTTATCAAACGCTGGATATAAAATTTTAAAACTTTTGAGAGTGGGCTATCAGACTAAATAATTATGAGTATGTGCTATTTATGTACACAAACACAAGATAAGCATTCAAATTAGTGAAAATTGCTCTGTTGTCCACTAGAAAATACCTTTTTCTCCTATAAATATGGTGAGAAGGAAAATAAGCTTGCTGAAGGTGCAGCCAAAATAATTTATGAAAACACAAAAGCCTTTACCATAAATTGTGAATTTTGCAAGATCTTGTTATAAAGTGCAGTGTGTTACTTTTTTTTTTTTCCCAGGGAAAGTGGCAACCGCTATATAATCTCTCCAATCAAATGTATTAGTGCCAAACTGCAAACTAGTCCGCCAGTTCCCTTACACTTGAAGACTTCATACCTATGTGAATAATGTAAAGCAATGTGTCTTCTGATGGATACTGATTAGAAGAATTTTCTAACTGTTCTTTTAGATCTTCTTTTTTTCATCTTTATGACCCATCAAGGAACATATTTTTATGCTTATTATTTTTTACATTATACATGCAATAAATAAAGTGATAGCTCTTTTAAAAAATACGCTCAGAAATGTAAAGAAGTAGACATGTCCACAAAAAAGCTATCACTGGGTTTTATCTACTATCACCTTCAACAAGTCCCCCAAGGAGTCTTTTCCAGCATGGTGTCATGCACTATTGGAAAAGATGCTCAGCTCAGTGTTGGTCCTTTTATTTATGTGCTGAAATATAGATTATAAAACCTAGTTTAAGGCATTTGACAATCTTAGTGAATGAAGTATTGCCTTCCTGACCAACTGCCATTCCAGGCCACTGCTGATATCATCTTCCCTGTTGTAGTATCTTATGGCATCAGTGGCTTTTCATTGCCCTTCTAAACCCATTCCCTGAAATTTGCACCCTTGTGGGACTAATGCAAATGGTACAATGCTGATGATGTGATGTGTCTTCCTCTGTGTAGGCGCCTGGGTCCCTCTATCCGGTTATGACCATTTGGTGGTGCTACCCATTTATGAAAACAGTCTTGTATTGTTTTAACACTATATCACACCCAACTACTATTTCTGCTGTCACTGACTAGGCATTAGCTGAGAAAAAATACCAATTGTGAGAAAAAGGAATGGAATAAGTGTACTGGAATAGAGATTTTCTTCCATTTTATTTTAGCGTAACTAGAAGCCAGGAAATTAGATAAATTCTGGGTCTATCTGTTTCAAAATATATCAAAGCAAATTTCAGGAGACCCAAAAATTCAGTAGCTGGGAATGAAGAAAAACATAACCATGCAGGCATTTTTAATTAACTTGTAATAATATATGAACAGTAATAACCTGAAACATCTCATGCAATAAGCATTATTTTCACATGTTCTTACTCACAGCTTTGTCTTTAGGGATGTGCATTAAATGGTCTGGTGCAGCAGAAATTCAAAGAGAAAATACGCTGTGCTTCCTAAGAAGAGAAGAATACTCCAGAGAGCATGTTGTTACCAACACTGCTATAAGAAACTGATGTTTCCTTAAAAGACCAAGTAAAGGTGTTGCTGAGGAGTAGACACTAATGAGGAAGTCTGATACCTAGTTAGCAGTTAGAAATCATCACTTTTGTTGACATCTATAGATTTATGTCAATCTACACCACATGGCCCATAGCATATACATCGCTTGATTTTATCATAATATTCATGAACTTGCACAGCAAACTCCAAGTGTGTTCCTGCCAGGCACATAAAAAAATGTTTCTCTTCAAACAACCAATTATTGTAATTTGAGGATGCATTCTTCCTTGAATGCAATTCTTTACAGGTGATTAATAGGATAATTATAACTTATTATCTGCCCTTCACTTTTACAAATAATCGTATGTAGTGCAACCCTAGTTTAAAAATATTGGCAAGGTGAACTTCAGTTTCTAAACACTACACATGTAATTGAACTCAAATTAGAAAGGTTGGGAAAGGCCTTTGTAAAATACTCTGCAGTTTGTCAGATGTATTTATTCATGTGCTGAGGATTAGAATTCATAAACATTTTGCACAGTTTTGTGAAAACTTTTTATTTTCTTTTGTTGTTTTTGGCCAGGACTTGTCAATACAGAAATTCACTGTTTCATATGTTTTATTACCAGCAGAATAACATTTTTAAAATAGAGGAATTGTAAAACTAGCCACAACTTCCAACTTACATGGAGAGTTGGTCTGATACGTAGAGGTAACATCAAACTTATAAGTAAAAAATGCTTTTCTTAATTTGTCTCTGAACACCAAGACAGAAAACAGGTTGCGATTCAAAATGGATATATTTTGCGTTTAGTTATATATGACTTGTAGCACAGTGATCTTTTTAGCAAGATAACTTTTTACTCTTAATAAATGCAAGTGGAGCCACTAGGAAAAGAATACACTATCAAGTTAATCTTTAAATAATTTGAGCACGGCACAGGAAATTCCTGCATACAGTTGTGGATTTAAAGACTAACCAAAAAACTATTAAAAAGGTTTCTTTTCTACATGTGGTCGATACTTCTGAAATTCTCAGCAGAATTACTTGTGAACAATTATTTCACACTTTGACAGAAACACAAATGACATAATAATTGTTGGTTTTCTCTGACTGGAGGTACGTATAACATTAATTGCCGAGACCCAATTCCCTAAACAGAGGTGCCCTGTGCCTTTTTAGATACCTTAGATATCCAGGACATCAATACAGGGTTGGCAGACCTAACACAGAACTTAGAGGAGATCCACGTCCTTTCTGAGAGGCAACTGGAAATCAGGCAAGACACCCTATAGTATCCAAAATGGCTCAGTCTGCTTTGGTTGTGTGAATCCCTCCTTAAATGATGAGAAAACTAAAACTGAAACTATAGAAATAAAGGTAAGGATGAATGTTATAAAGATAAAAATCATTAACTAGGAAGTTTACATGTAAAAATACTTTACAAAGTATTTTAGGATCTTAGGTTTTCTTGTTCATGCTTATGTGTACAAACAGAAATTTTCCATGTCACTTTGAGAAGAATCCATTTGACCATTTGCAGAGCTAATTAGGAACCCTGTAGGTTATCTCTTTGGAAGGAAATCTTCCTAAGAGGTGAGAAGAGATTAAGCAGCTGGATTCCCTTGAAATCCAAAAGGAAAACATGGAAATCCTTCAGGAAGGCAAAAAGGCAGGATGAACATCAGTTGATTTAAAATATCTCTGAATTTTCTCAACTTGATTTGAGAGCTTGTCCATTAAAAGAGCATCTGTAAAAACAAAGGAAATGATGGATTCAGATAATTAGAAAAGAGACATTGCATTTAAACCTAAGCATTTCTGAGATACTGATATACTTTTGTGCTTAAAATTCAATTATTTCATTTATTGTGATACTCTTTAAATGATTCTACAGATTTTCACAGATTGGTTTTATAGTTTCAAATACTTAAAGCGTAGATAGATATACATAATACTTCAATTAAGAAAGCATTAAATGGTAAGATTTTTATCTTATTTCAAGAAGTGTGTGAAAATTGGGTTGAATATTGAGATTTTTCCACAAAATCTTTGTCATGCAGGATGGAAATTCACACTATTTTGTCTGTCCTAGCTTCAGTACTATAAAGACCTATGCTATGCCTTTTGGTGCCAGGTGGTGGTGAGTAAGGCTGATCTCTACATGCAAGGGTAGGTTCTGGTTTCTTTCCTCCACATTAATTCTGAAGAATCACTACCTAGATTTAAAAAGCCCTCAGGCATAAGCTTTCCTTGACTTCAGTTTCCTAAATCCTGCATCTTATTTCCAGCATAACTGCATTCAGTTAGGGGTCCTTCTGCAGCCACAGAGAGTAAAGAAGGATTCCTTCAAGCACAAAACTCTATGAGTGAAAAACTAAGGATTTAGTTCTTCCTTCATCCCATCCCTTTTCAAGCAGCCAGGTGGGATATTTCTATGGGACATAGAAGTCAGTCTGACATCATGGTCCCTTTGATCTGTTTACAGGTTAGGGCAATGTCTCTTAGTTCTACATGGTACAGCAGTTTGCCATGGTCTATAACAAGTGATAATTAGTCACAGACAGGGTCATGCTCTTCTTTGCGTAGAGGAAGCGGAGTAGTGAAGTCCACAGTGTGCTCTGCCCAGCGGGACCCTGCAACAAAGGCACAAAGAGAATGCATGCCTGCTCCCATTGACTGTGTCAGCCAAGGCTGAGTTTGGCCCTAAGTGCAAAAACATTTTCAAGTGACTAAATTTAACATCTTCTAGTAAATATTCTTCTGGCTTGAATTTCAGTCTGAAGCAGAATTTGACAAAACATTGTGATTGGTTGGCTCCCAAGCATGCTTGAAAACTTATACTGGACAATTTTCTTGCAGAGTGTGAAGTATGTGCTTCTTTCTTGCAATCTGTTGAGCTGGCATTTAGGAGGGGATGGTAATTTAAGTGGAAAGCTCATACTCTGCAGCTTTCCTGCTGATGATGAAAAGTTGGCATTTTCTCCTTTGTGGAATTCAGTGTGAATCTGGGGCTGCTTGCCAGCTAGGCAGTGAGCTCTGCCAAGAAGGCCTGGACTGCATTAAAAGGGGTTATTTACCAGAACAGGTAAGCATTTCTCTCTCCAAAATGGAAATACTCATGGAAGTGAATATGGCATGAGATCAATTTTAAATTGCATGGTAAACTTGGTCACAATCTCACATCCTCTTTGTTAAACTGAGTGTAATAATTAGAAAATAATTAACACTGAGTCTAAACCACCTGTCAACTGCTGCTTGCATAAACCCAGAATCCAGAAACTGGCCCAGAAATAGAGAATCAGATAGGCTAGGAAACTGGAGCAAAGTATGTGCTCATGTTACTTATCGAAGTCCCCAAAGTGGGCAGTGCTAGTCAGGAAGTGATTTGAACAAGGAAACAGAGAATATTACGTAATTGTTACATAAATTACATAAATGTTACATAATTCCAAGGCATCCCTTGGTTTTCGGGGACTGGTAGGTGCTAATGACCCTTTGTGCCTTTGAACCTATTCCTTACTGAAAAATGACTCATTTATCAGTGGATCACAAAAACACCTGCCTAATATATAAACAGAAACTGCAGAATCTTTGAGATTGTTAATATACAAACGCAGAGGACCTGTGAGATATTCGAACTTAGTTCTCTGTAACCATAGGCAACCCTAAGAGCAACAAAGCCCAGTCTTGGTGCTAATATGCTTCTTGCACTGTGTATCCAAGAAAGGGAGTTTGTAATGCTTTCCCCTACAGCCTAGGTATCCCTGAGGTGCCTGCCTGCCTCCTCCCTTTTCTCTGCTTCTGTCAGGACACTTCATGCTCCTTACCTTATGCTAGCAATAGTTTCACTTGTCAGTTATCTCTAGCTACACTCCACAATAATCTTCACTGAAACTAAACTTGGTGTTTTAAAACATGACATTGCTAAGAACAATGCAAAATATTGCTAGAATTCCCAGCTCAGTAAAGACTCCCGTAGTTTCAGATTCTCTCCACATTCTCAAGGATCAATTCAGATCTCTTTCTGGGCACATGAAATTTCCATCATTAATTCCTTCTTCAAGCATTTGTTGATATACCTCTGGCAGACATTGGCAGCCCAAGTGATTTTTGTCCATTTACATTGGTTTTCCTACTTTAAAAATGATTAGTGGACGCAGTTTCTACTTTCATCTTCTACTATATTGCACAAAAGTCCAATTCAGCCATGTAAAAACTTTGAAAATATGACCCTTTGTGTCTGATCCAAACTGTCTCTCCAGTGGTTTGGTTATTTCTGCAAACTTGAGCTGTTCTTCGCTGTAAGATTTCTTTCCTGACAGTGTATTTCCAGTGCTCTTTTCAGCTTCCTTTCTGTTAGCCTCTAGCTTTAATAGACATCATGATCTGAGTGCCAGTAAGTGTAGGAGGGAAGGTGATGATGCCATATATGCCAGGTGTAGAGTTATTTCTTTTGTTCACTGTTGGGTCTAACTGCTGATATTTTCCAGGGACACCCCTACATCTGTATAGTTGTATCCAACCAGTGGATAGCTGCCAACAGAAATCATTCTTACAAAGGCAGACAGTCTCATTTCAAAGTGTATAGAAATAGCTGCTATAACCCACTGACTATTTCTGCAGGGGTTTTGTAATGGTACTGAATTTTGGGCTGAGCAGGGTATATGATGTAATGAATTCTGGAGCCTGATAAGGTTTCCCTGATATGGAAGAGGAACCAAGGTCTGTCTGGCTATCCTGAAGAGTGAGGAGGCAAAATAGCTCCAGAGCAGAAGCTAAGTTTGAGATATGAAATGCAAGTTTTGTGGAAGAAAAGAGTTAAGGAAATGATCAAACATGACTACTATACTCACATCACCTACAAATCTGTTAGTAGAGCTAGCAGATGGAGTAATGATTGGGATAATTGTTGGATGTTTGACCCTCTTTCATCTTTAGTGATTCATCAACTTATCCTAATTTCTAAAAACGCAGCTACCATTTCCAAATATTAATCTGATATGTCTAGATATTCAAATGCAGCCTACTTAAATATTTCTGTACTGATAAATACAGAGGTGTCATTAGGAAAAATCGAGACAGTTTTTTGGCTCTTGCAAAAATTCAGCTCTGAAGAAGGCAACAAAATATTCAGCTTTTAATAGGAACTCTCTCTATCTCAACATTAGTTGTTTCCACCTTGATAATTAGTACAAGAGGTCTGCAGAAAGAATCTCAAGGTAATAAAAGGACAAAGCAAGACACAGCTCTCACATCTTACAGTCTGGCAATTCCATACCTGATAATATTACTCCTACTGTCATATACTGGAGCTATTTTGTCCTACTTCAGGGAGTGTATTGGTCGTCAAAACCTTAGGACTTAGGAAATTGTCAAAACAGAATCCTTACACTGCTGTTTGCTTCCCCTTCTGTGTTCCTGCACCCAGTATGACCAAACAGAACTTCAGGATTTGTCCTCTTCCTGGCCAAATGGAAAATAACACATGATAAGAGCAAGTGCTATTTATCTACATAACCCCAATAATTAAGATTATTATATAGACTATTGTTCTAAAATCTGCAAAGCTTGATCTATTGGTGGGCGTTTTCATAAACACACAGTTTTCCCCCAGGTACCTGCAAGACTTACCAAATAGAATAACCCATGAAGAAAATGTGGTTTAAGAATTGCAAATGTATCTGTAAATATTATTTTTATTGTAATTGCTCTCTTTGTTCTAAACCATGATACGTATTAGATAGCTACAGTTCTCCTTTGCAGTTTGGTCTCCTCAGTAACTGAGTAGAGTTGGGACCCAGTCAGGTCCTGCCAGCATTTCCCTGCACACTTGCTCACTGCACAGAATAGAGTGATTTCAAAACAAAACATAGTGCTATTGTTTCTAGCCACAAGGAAATCTTCCAGATGCGATCCCATATGGGATTCTAGGGAAATAATGACATGAACAGCCCTATTCATTTTAGTTACCAAGACTTGAAAGGACTGGTGATATTTGCAATGTCTTTATCACTGACAGACATTCAGTGCTGATCGTAATGGTAGGATCCCAGAAGTTTTCGTATTTGTAGCTGAGCTTGCTTACAGTAGCACTACTAAGGGAGTATGTACACTGCAGTTACTTCCCAGTTTCTGTACTTGGATCAAAGCTGATTTTATCTAGTTGGTGGGTGGCAATGCAGTGGTAGCAACCCAGAGGACAATATACGATGGCTACTGAACTGTTAACTTCACAGAGGAAGCTCCTTGGGTGGGCTTCACTTGACCTAGTTTAAAGTAGACCCAGACATGATTAAGAAAGAGTTTTGTCTGCAGTACAGATGTCTCCTGTCAACGGTGGTCAAACTTCTTTAGCTTTAGAGAGGGAAGACTGGTACTGATATCGCTCTTCCTTGTCCACCTTGCCAGGGTTGCTGCTCCTGGCTCTGCAGGAAGCATGCCTCCACACCCAGCCTTAGCAGCCTACATGGGCAGCAGAAAAACTGGCTGGACTCTAAGCATAGTTCAAGAAGACTACAGTTATTTCAGTACAAGAAGACACATTTAGCCCAAACAATCTTTTACCCTTTTTATAGGAGAAAATGTATGGACAAAAAAGCTCATGTGGATGAATTTCAAAATACAGTTTGCTTGGTATATGTATCCGTATCAGGGCAAAAGTAACTCTCCAGTAACTGAATGTGTCCGTCTGCTAATTTACTAGGATGCAGTCCTACTCAAAGAATATACAGTTAAAACTGGCTCACTAAAACACAGCTAACTATAAAAAACTTAAGAGAACTCTTACTACTGATCTGCATAACTATTTCTTATCTACTATTTTATCTGAAATTAATGCAAAGCTAGTAAAAACATCTGTGTTTTCTGGTTTTCCCTCGTAAATCTTAAAATGTGTAAGATGGTTAGATGCAATAACACCAGAAAAATAAAGATAATAGTGTGCACACTTCAGTTCCAGTGTGGCTTCAGCAAGGTTTTGTTTGGAGTGTCCAGCTGCATATACAGACGCAGTGGAATTTGGTTTGTGAGGAACCTACAAAAATTACACAAATAACTAGCATTTTTTTAATGAATAATACACAGACATGCACCTGCTTCAGATAGTCCATAGATTAGTCTTGCAGCCAATAGAAAAGCCCCTTGGAATTCAATTACATGGCTGGAAAACAGAAAACAAAATCATGGCTATACTTTTAGAACTGATACCAGCAAAATGTTAACCAGTTCTTGGGCAGAGCTTTTCCTGAGGATTAGATTGTTTCAGTTTGTTTTACTTCCCTGTGGCTTATTGAAAATTTATATTATTCTATTCTATTCTTGCAGCTGGAGCCTCTCCCAGAAGATATTGTGCACCAAATCCCCAATATGAATGCAATAGCTTCTTTAAAAAAGACCACTGAAATTCAAAGTATGTTTCTCAGTTTGGGATGGTGGGTTTGGGGTATTTTTTTATTATTAATTAATGTCATAGGCATTAAAATATTGTTTCAGAGAAAAGAACACACAAATGTTTTATGTATAAACCAACATGCTGTGTCTAATATATATATATATGGTTTTATTTTTTGTGAGTTTTTTGACATCTCTTTGTTTCTGCTGTGTATTTAGCCCTGAAAAACTAACCCATTGAAATTATTTAGAGCTTACTGATTCCTGGATGTTCCCAAATCTTTCTATTCCATAGCAGTTTGGCTGAAATAGATGGTTGTCAGTGAGAACAGGAACAGACACCTAAATTAGAGCTCTAACAAACAGTTTCTTCAGATTCTATTTTACAAGTTACTGACTTTGAGATGTATAGGAGTTTGAGATAAAGTTTAAAAGCTCAAAATGGACATTGGTCCATGGAAAAATGATTTGAATCTGTTTCTGGTGTAGAGGGTACTTGATGGTTTCACTTTTGTGCCCTGAACCTTATCCTTTATTACCCAGATGCTTTAGGGCATTTGCTCTGGTCTCACTGAAAAATTTTCTCTTTGCCATCAGTTGCCTTAATCTAACTGAGCAGACTACACCTAAATTATTTAATCTTCTGCTCTCTGCCATTTTACCAAGGCGGTGAGAGCTTCCTGACTTGTACTGCTTGCTGGCTCTTTAACAATAACAAATGAATAACAAATGTTTTGCTTCATGTTAGATGAATCACAAATAATTAGGATCCATCTGCATAAAATAAATGCAGTTTTTAAAAGGGACACCATGCATTATCCATTGATCATGCAGTAATTATCAATGTGATTTTAATTTTAAAGTGACAATTAAAATTCATTGTAGGTATATAATTCATCCCTCATGTCCAGTCACCCAGATATGCAAATGCTCTAAGTAGATCAGCTGTATATGATAAATTCCAGCAAGTCATTTTTGCTGGGTGGTATGTCCTAGGGTAGCTCATGAGTTAGTACCTTCCTTAAAATTCCCTGTTAATAATCTAGAAGGAATCAGTTAATTAAGGAGATTCATGTACTATGCAAGATAGAGCAGGTTTGTAAGTTATAATAGGGATGGAAAGTTGCACACAGGCCACAGGCATGAAGAAAGAATATGCAATTCTATTTGAAATAAGACACATTATTTAATGAAAATGGATCTGAAACAAAAAAAGGGTGAATTAGAAAAAAATAATACTGTCTTGAGAAAGGCATAGTGTCTTACTAGAAATAAACACAAGTGATGGCAGTTCAGAAAGAAGGAATGGATTTAGGAACAAATATATAGTGTGTGTCTAAAAACATAGTTCAGAGCCCTGTAGCGCGACTTGACTTTGCTTGTCCAGAACACACTTAGGTTTGAGCTGAGCCGGTAGTCACGGCAGTCCAGTGGGCTGTTCTGAAACCAAAGTCAGGCTGCTTAGGGTGTGGAGTTTTTTATGCACAATATTCTGTCTTTTCTTGCAGCTATTACCTGAAAGGCAAAGCAGACATCATTTTGTCTGGAGAGAGACCAAGTAAAGGAGCATTGAGGAAGCTTAGTGCAGCTTTACAGAGAATGCATATTTAAATGGAATTAAAAGAAGCAAGCACCTGTTGAATATTACAGGGAGTTATATAGGCTGAAAAGCATTAGGCTGTGGGGTAGCACCTCAAGAGATACCGAGAAAGCCTGATTTGTTTGGATGATTGCTTGCATGTATATTGAGTCTGTGTTTCTGTGATCCAACTTTGATAAAGAATATTAGCAGTATTTTAGACAAAAAAAGTCCCTCCTCTGTGTTTGTTGCAAAAAATTGAAGATACAATATTTAGTTAGACAATAAGAGGAAACAACTTTTTTCTAACTAGAATGGAATTTGTATAAATGTTTTGTTTGTGACACTGATCCAAAGCTCCTTTGGAAATGTAATACATTTGGAAGTAGTAGTTCCCACACCCATGTAATATGCAATTTCTAAACAATCCTGTTCACTGGCTGGAATACCACCCCCAAAATGTTTTTTTCAAGCATGCTGTGTTACAGCATGTCCAAATCTAGTTGTGAAAGGCCTGTAACAGTGACAAAACCATTTATTTTGATTATTTCCTGGTAATAATCAGTGCTCCCACAAATCTTTAAGGAAGACTTACGCATATTTTCATGCTGAAAGCCAAAGCATACCTAGAAGACTGATTTGGTTTCATTGTTTGTTCTTGCAAGCCACGATTGCTCTTCAAGTTTTGTATGAATTAAACGAGCAGTATGCTTCATTCTTTCCCCTGAGCTTCACCAAGTTCTTCTCAATGAATGTAACAGGACTGGTAGAATTTCACATTCCAGTATAGCACAGTAGAAATTACATTTTCAGAGATGTAAGCAGTTTGAGACAGATGCTTTTTGAGCTCATTTAATTGTCAATCCACAGCATACCTAGGGTTTCTAACAAAGCTCCTTTGCAGCTGCATGCTGTGATTGCCTCTCCATTCCACAAGACCTTGCCTGCAAATCTTTTGGTTGAGAATATAAGCAATCCCTGTATGTTTTCTACACAACATAGAAATGGTGGTTTTTTTATAAAAGGAAGCTTGCAAAGCTTTTCTGCTTACCATAGGTGTTTGTAAGGCACAGCCTTCTGATTTTAAAGAAAAAACTACCACTGCTTTTTCACAAGTATCACAAAGCCCTCTTCGCATGATGTACCCACTGCTGCCTGGATGCTCTTCCTAATTGGAACTGCCTTAAAATTTCCTCCCACAAATCACAAACACCCTGCCATGCACTCCCCTTCTCCAGGACCCTCCACTGCAGCATAGGTGCTGCCACCTGCTTCCTGGCCTGACTCTGCTCTCCCTCTTTATCACTGAAGCCCCTCTTATAATACAGTTCTCAGTGCAGAGAAACAAGGAAAATCACGGATCACTTGGGAGTGAAGGGCAGTTAAATGGGCACAGAGAGCCCACTAATACACTTGAATTGGCCCTGAGTTTTAGTGTTACAAGAAAGTCAGAATTCAGGGGGCAGCTGGTGTGCGAGCCTGTGTGTGAATGAATGAATGCGATGTAGCAATCCTCACTGATGCTGTTTTATTGTTGCTGCAGGAGAGCAACACAGTGGTAGCTGGGTACTAATATTTTATTTTATGAATAAGAGCCCTTGAAAACTCCAGCAGTGAACATGGGTTCATTTCTTTTATAGGCAAGAGGGGGTATTATTCCCATGCCAACAGATTTGATTTTCTTGCACATCTGTTACTGAAAAAGAAAACCCCACCCACTCTGTGAACATTTAGCTCATAAATTATAGGGTTTGAATTGGGTGTATATTGCAAAGACTGACTTTTGCACATATGATCTGTGAGAACATTGTGGAATGCTCATATAACTTTTTTGTTTGTTTTTAGTGTATTTTTTAATGAATAGAGAATATGGTCTCTTAGCACAGTAATAATAGAGAATATTTTTGTCTTGTTTTTATAAAATTTGCCAGGCTCCAATCATTGAGCCTACTGCTATGTACATAACTTTTTAGCTGTGTCTTTCATGCTTTTGGAGCAAAGCCAGCCTCCTAACACTTAATCTCAACTTTGTAGGATACTTAATACACTTTACATTTTATCCCCAGAAGGTCCCCGTTATTTAAAGATTCTGCTAACTACTCAAACGTGCACACTATTAGAGTTCAAAGAAACACGCTGGCCATGCTCGCTGGTTGTTCTTGCAGATTGACTTGGGCTTTCATCTTGCAATGATGTTTTTGAATAAAGACATGTTCAGGCTTTATTGACAGCTGCTTTCTCACTGGAGGGAAAAGTTCATCTTTCGAAAAGCCTGAAACTATGTTGAAAGCTGTGTTACCAAAGAGGGAGGTTTCAGCAGCCTTTGTGCAGCACAGGCATTACCACCACTGGCCTGGCCTCCCAGCTGTCAAAGCCTCCAGCTACCCTCTGGATAAGCACCTCAGCTCAACCCACTGCCCAGCTGCCAAAATCCTCCTTTTAGCCCTTGGAAAAGTCCCCTACTTGATCCCTTCTCTTTCACAGCTGTTGAAACCCTCCATCTAATTCCCATATAAGTACCCTGATCCAACCTCTGCAGCAGCTGCTGGAAGCTTCTTGCTAAACACTGAGTAAGCTCTGGTCCAGAACTCCCAGCCTTCCCAAAGCTCCTAATTTCCAGGTGTCATCCACCTGGCAATTAGTGAGTGCTCGGTGGATTACTGGACTGTAAGAAATACATATGTAAATTCTTACTTGTTCACCTGGTTACCACTAAGCAACCTCTGTTTCTCAATAGCCCTGCAGTAGCAGACCATTTTATACGTTGATGATGAGCCACCTGCCATTATTGCGTGCATTGCTTGAGAAGCTTCTTATTGTCTCTTCTGTTGCAGGCAGAAAGATGAGAATACTCATGCTTTTAATCCACTGCTTTTTTTTTTTTTTTTTTTTTTTTCCTTATGATATCTGGCAGCTTTCCAGCAACAGCCAGTTCATATATGAAAGTTTTAAATAAATTATTGTTCTAGTATACGCCCTGAGGTTGGAGGGGAAAGAACATCCAGGACTAACAAACCTGATTGTTCTGGCAACATCACTTCAGTCCAAGCTGGCATTTCTGACATTTTTCCTTTTCAAGACAGTGCTGTGTGAGCACTTTGTACAACAATGTTCATATTTCTAGCCCTTATTTGCTGTATATGCATCAACAGTCCACCATATTGGAGCTTCTAGGTATTAACTCTGCCCTGAACTCCCTTCACCTTGCACAGATAAAGCCAATAGCCTGTCTGACAGTATGCGTTCATTAGTCTGTGCGTTACTCCTCCAGTTTATTACCTTCTGGGGAAGGGTGTGTCACAGCCCTTGGAATGAAAGCACTTTCCAACTTGGCATTCTTAGATTCAGAAATATACCTCTTCACTGCAGTCTGAAATTTCAACTGTACTGCTTACACCACAGTGATTTTAAATTATAATCATTCAGTGTTGAACTAAGTGATTACTATGCTTGTACCACCGTGCTAGCTAAAATTCCCATAAATTATTATGTGTGTTTTCCTTAGGCAAGTACTGGAAATCAGTGGAGCCATATTCTGTGCCAGTGGATTGTGCTCTGGCCGAGTCTCAGAAACAAGAGAGGGAGGAGACAGAAACAGTATCTGCTATGGCCTCTCTTTCAGTGGATGTTGAGCAGTGTATCCCTCAGGAAGGTAGCAGGTAAGTGTATGCAATTATTATAGAGAAGAAGGCTTTTGCTCCAGTCAAGTGAGATGAAAAAGACAGCTAGACTGAGAGTTGTTTCAAAATTATCTGCTAATTGAGGTACCTGGAATTTTTCATACCTGGATGTGAATTCTCTCACTTGACCAGCAGAAGCTGAGCTATTCTATGCTAGCAGGTATTTTTTTGGTGGATGTAAGTTCACAATTAGTACAAGAACCTTGTTTTTTCCTCATGTCTAATTCTTCTTTACTGCACAAAAAGTGCAATATCCATATGAGGAAAATAGACGTGATCGAGTGTAATCAGCCACATTCTTCTCATTGGAAGCTATTCAAACTTGCTGTAGTTTTAGTTTAGAAGGCATTTAACACACAGTCAGAGAAATTTAATAAGGATGGACTTAGATCATTATTAAATGATATTAGACAGGCATTAAAAGTTACTTCCCTGGAAGCAATGGAACGGTGCCAGTATAAAACTTAAAGAAATCCTGACCAGGATTAGGGCCAACATTTTCTGTGTACCAGGATGAAGGTATACCAGTAAAGAATGAGAACACTGTTTTTTCCAGCTTGTCAGCTACTTTTTACATTAATAAAGATTGCTTTCAATTTCACAAATTGGGAAAATGATACAGTAACTGCTGTTGTGTTTTTTGCCAATTAGAGATGAAAACAATTGATAGTCACTGAATACCCTGTCATCTATTTCTTCAAAGAGTTGTTAGGAATCAGAAAAGCCACTGCAGAAGTTCTTGGAGTTTCCTATTTACTCATTTTAAGGACAAATTTTCCTGGCCTTCACCAGTAGAGGAAGACCCAAAATGCAGTGGAACCATTCAGTTTCCATCACACAGAGAAAACAGGGGAGGAAGGAGGAAAGGAGAAAAAAGCCTTATAAGGAGACTCATCAGCTCCCTGCAAGCTGTGGAGCAGAGCTGTGTAACAACAGGAGAGAAAGGAGGGAGCTGTGGGTAGGCAGAGCGGTGGTGGGAGTGAAGCCAGAAGGATCCATGGCTCCGATGTCATGACAGCTACTTGTTTGATTTGGTTCTTGCCTCCTGCATTGGCTCTTTTAATCAGAACTAAACTGATAGCCCTGTGGGGGAATAGCACAGTGATAAAAGTTGTGGATGCAATTGGGAGTGAACGTCTCTCACAACAGTGGGAGCGCTCATCTGTCAATAAGTTAACAGACATGGCTCAGAGACACACAGGGAGCAGAGCTAGCTAGTAAAGTTCACAGTATTTACATAATTACCTTTCTGATTGTAATTATATTTTAATATGCTATGGGTATTCTTGTGCTAGTATTATTGCAAACAAATCCATAAAAGCTTAGGGAAGAATCCATGATGTACAGGAGACATATCTGAGGTTTGTGAGAGTGCTAATTAGTGCTCAGCTAAAGAATAATGTAAGGTTTGTCATATAAATATGTGACAGTTATGACACACTTCTGCTATCCAGGGACAGAAACATGCCTGCTCGTGTGTGTATAGCTCTGAAATATAAAGAATTGTAGCTACAATGTTGGAACTAATGCAGTCAAACAAAGCAAAGCTTTAAATTGTCTGAAAAAGGGTGTGGTTAATTTTGTGTATTTTTACATTGCTTAGAATAACCAAGAATTGTGTTTGCTATGCTCCTCCACTCAAACTACAACCAGTGAGAGCAATTGCTGATCCTACGTGATTTGTACAAAATAACCCTTTGACTAACGCTGCACTTAATTATTGTATTTATTACCTACTTACTGATAACCTGTGACAGTTTCTACCCATTTTGAAAACAGAATTTCAGGGCGGAGCTGAGAGAATTGGAAAAAAAAATGGATGTGCTGAAATGTACACAAGTGGAATTCATGTGGCTGCCAGATTCATTACACTTCATCAGTTCTGGACTCTTATAGGGACAAATCCATTGTGATGAATTGTTATGTGGAAAAAAAGGCTTCGTTTGAAATATCTTCTGTGGTGCTGCAGAGATTTTTCAGCAGCGCAGAAAAAAACCATCTGCACGCATGCGCTCCTAAGTCTCTTTCCACATTCATAACCCACAAAGAAGTCATCAGAAACCAGATTGCCATCAAAGAGTGACAGGACAATACAAGTGCTGTCCCACCAGGCGAAAATTGATAGTTAGGTTTTCTGAGGCTTTGGGACATCATTTGCTTTGTTTTCCTCCTGCAGAATATAAGGAGGAATATGGAATCAAAAATGGTCACCCCAAAGGTCTGATTTTGAGGGTCCTCTGAGCTGAAGGGACAGCTGAGAAGACCTGGCTGCATTTTGAGCATGAATGGAAGTCCAGCACAGGATCATAAATCCAGGGACTGATTAGACACTGCACACTCTGGTTTCATGCCAGTATCATTTCATTTATTTCATGAAAACATGCCGTTCATTTCGCAGATACATGCCAACACAAACTGCAGTAACTTAGCGAGGAGTCCAACTTTGCTTTTTCACATTTGTTACATTTGTTGTAATCAAGGACCAAATATTCAATGCTCCTTCTCCAGACTGTTTCTGTGGCACTTGACAGAGCTGCAGGGACATGAGGAATCGTTTGGGCTCTCAAGCTCTCTTGATAAGGCCACTGTAGATGTGTCCCTCCTCCCCACATTGTAGATAGGAGTCACCTTCTGAAGACCAGCTGCAAGCCTTTTTTCATTGAGTGTTTGTCTGGGAAAGTTAAGTTGTGACAGGTAGGGTGGGATCAGAGCAGAAAGTGCCCTGGCTGACAGGGCAGCCTGGAGAGTGTCTTCATTATGTCAGGAGCCAATTTTAGTTTCTCTTAGTTCCCACCATGGTCAGCCAGTCTGATAATTCTGGCCTGAATCTCTCAGCCTCTCACTGAATTGATGGTAGAGGTCCTGTTGACTTCAGCTTTGGATGGTCAGGCCTCCAGATTAAGAGAGCAGCAGCAAGAGTCTCTTTGCAGGAAATTCTTGCCAGTTATGTTGGCGGATATATTGGTGTTTGGAGCGAGATGACTCACTTTAAACTCAGATTTTGGGTAAAGCAGCTCTTTTCCTGGCCAACTCATATCTGACTCATTTACCACTGATGAATAAAGGATAAAATGCTTCTGGCTAAGGCCCATCTTAAGTATTTCTCTTTCTTCTCTTGTTCTTTCTTTTCTTCAAATGACAGTGCTGATTATTTTTTTATTTGATTTTCTCTGGCAGTCCAATTGTAAAAACCGTGAAAAGCTGCTATGCTTTTGGTGTTTTATTTTACCAAAGCACAACTCCGCATTTTAAGATCCAATTGAAACTTGATTATAGACTTCAGAAGAGAACAGATATAGAAAAAGAGTTTGTGGATAGGAAAGAAAACATGCATGACTCTAACACAGATTTAAATACAGATGCAATTAAAGGAACAAGCATGCCCTATAAAACATTTCTAACTACCATAACTTTTGTGTGTTGATGACCACTTATTCCCTATGTGAGATACACATTTAGCTGATTAGAATTTTGCTTTGGCCAGACATCTGTTTCAGAAATTGTGCTATGAAAATATTCAGTACAGTGCTGTCCCTGATACATTGGAGCTTCTGTATGTTTCTTCTTAAAATGGAAAAAATAAAAGGGTGTGGAGGGAGATCTTTTGCACTTACTATTTTTACAGTAAACAGCAAATCTTGAGAATGACATTTATCAGAATTTGACTTTATGGCCCTCAGTCAGCTGAGCATAGGTTTTATTCAAATGGAAATGAAAACAAAGTGCAATTTTTAGATATTACTCTCAGCGTTACAGCACTACCAGTTGCGGTTTTAGTCATGTCGCATTATATTACATACATCATATTATATACTAGAGCAACTGGTTGGATCATAGAGTACAACTAGCTGCCATTCTAGGATGACTTGCTGTGTTTCTGTATCAGCTCATAAAGCTTCATTATTTGGGTATCCACCTCAGCTTTGCTGAGTAACCTGAACCTACCTGGCCATACTCCACAGAATCTGCGGTCATAGCCAGGCTCATGAGCTGAAGAACAGCTTTCCCAGGTCAGGCTGCAGCCTTATCTTGCCCACCTTCCTCTCATCCCCCAGTGGTGGGCACATAAGGAAGCGAATGAGGAGCAGAGGAGTTTGAGACCCAGCCTTACCCTGGTGAGTCAGTAGATCTCAACAGATGTATCTGACCCATCCTGTGTAAAAGCATCCACGATAGCAACCCAGGCATAAACTTTTCCAAGCTTTTTTTTGAACCATGTTAATCCTTTGGCACTCAGGTGGTGAATCCCAAAGACTCATCAGGCATTGTACATCTTTATTTTTGCTCTAATAAGTTAATAAACTGGTAAAATCACTGGGGAACCCCTAGTTCTTGCATTGTGAGAAATAAAAGCAGCTCTTTTTATAGTCTCTGGCCTGTTTCTGTCTTTAAAGGCTTCAGCTGTCTCAAGACTCTGTATTCTTTCCGGTATGAAAATAATTTCTTACCTCTGATGATTCTTGCCCCTGTCTGTGCCTTTTATAGTTTTCTTTAAGGTGGAATAAGAACAGCATGCATAACTCCAGGTGTTGGGTACACTGTGGATTTGCACAGTAGCTTAATGATGGGGACTTTTTCTTGTTTCTGTTGCTCTCTGCTCCTCTACCATTAACTCCAGGTTCTCAGTCATAGTCATCACTATGTATAAACAGTTAAATCTGTCATCCCCCCTCTTTTGTGTACTGTGTGTTAATTTGCATTTGTTTACCTTCTTTTTCACTCAGAAATGGTTGTATGGGTTTTAGAACTGACTAGTATGGATAATTAGACATCATAAACAAACATTATCACCTAAATCTACTGGTAGCCTGTCAAGTCTTTTTGAGATGCTCTGGAGAATCCCCCCATGGTGAAAATTCACAAATATTATTATCCGTTTCCTACTTTTGATGGATAAAATTGTTGGAAGACTTTCTTTGCACAGGAATATCTCTTGATTCCTCTTCCTTTGTTTCCTTCAGAAACTTCTACTAAATTTGTAAGGCTTGCTTTCTCTGTAAGTGTTAAAACATAACTCCTACCCACATTACTATTACCTAAATGCCTACTAATTCTATCAGTAATTGTAGCTGTTTTCCATTTCCCCATGCAGGCTTACTGTATCTCCTGTAGTTTCCAAAATGGTAATTGCATTTCTTAGCATCTCTACCTCTTGCGTGGATGCTGAATTAAGCAGTAGAATATGCTCAATAATTACTTCTTCAGCAACATCATAATTGCATTCCCCTAGAACTCAGTGGACAAATATCTTCTGCTTTTAGCAATTTGACAATGTTCAATATATCAGTTTGTTCTAGTCCTGATTCAGTTTAAGACAGTTCATCTGCAAATAATAAAATCTCCCTGACACTTCTCTAGTGAACACAGTTATAAATAGTTAATTTTGCTTTTGCGGTCTACCTTCCTTGATGCTCTGTTTATGCTTTGATCATTTCTTCTGATGTATTTTGAAAGACCTTTCTATTATTAGTTTTCATGCCTTTAACATGTTGCTCTTTAGACTTTCCTTTGACCTGCCTCATTGAGGGTTTATATTTAACTTTCCAGAGTTAATACTTTATTAATTTGCCTTATTTGGACATTACTTCCTCTTTTGAGAATATACGTATAGTTAGTTATTCTGCTCTTAAACTATGATGGTTCTTACTTTTAGTCCCTTTTTCTTTAATGCATACAAAGTCTATTTTTACTAGGATATATGCTTACTCAGGATCTCTTATATGATGTCTTTGGACACTCTCTGAATCATCACCATGGTATAGAAACTTACCTCTTTTTCCCCAGCTCTCTGCTACCAGAGGAACACTTTTCAATTACAATGATCTTCTCTGAGACAGCTGAGTTAAATTAGGAACAGATTATGGCATAAAACAGCCATACCATGCCAGAAAATCTATCTTTTGTTCAGCAGTTTCTGTGACTTGGAAACATACCTTGAATTTTTATTTTTATGTGTCTGATGATGTAGCTATGAGGAATCTCTGTAATTCTAATTCAAAAAATAAGGTAAGAGAAACTTTTTTTTTTATGTTGTACAGGATTTATCTATATTCCTAAATATTAAGGTTTTTTAAACTGTAGATATGAACTTTTTAAAATAATATTCCCATAAAGAATATGTTTGCTATTGATTCTCAACTGCCACAGAACAATATTAAGATGTCACCCATTTTGCCAGATTTTATCCATATGTTAGGATTTTTGCCTCATCTATTTCTTTTGTTTTAAGGCTTAAAGGGAATAATTTTGTTTAGCATTAACTGCAGAGAGACTATTTCATTCTGCCATAGCGTGGATTGCACATATAGAGAGTTATAGGTGAGCACTCTTTCCAGCACACCAAAACAGAGTTAATGCACAAGGGCTCTGTTCCTAGGAACTTGCAGTTTAAGCAAGCCACATCGAAGCCTTAATGAAAAATCACAGTTGTAGTTCTACAATCATTACAGTCCCAACTGGTGTCTTTCTGAATCTGCTGACTGCATGGAATCAGTCCAGATCAGACCCAAGCTCACAGCTGCATCTCTGAGGAACCAGTCAGTGCATACACTACAGGAAAGGGTTTTTTGCCTTTTATGTTTTTATGCCAGCTTCTTGACAGCTACAGGAAGAATGACTGAGCTGATGTAACTAACAGTGACATAACTGAAGGAACATAAATGTGGCTTGTCAGACTCTGCCCCCTTGATTTTTGTTGGAGAACTTTTGATTTCAGCAGAATGGGTATATACTGATTCACCGCTCAGTGTTATGGGACTATAGCATTTTTCTCTATGTACTGAGGGCCTTAAAACTTTACTAGCTCTCACACAAAACTCTGGCCTAAGCCATTATCCCTTAAAAATATATGTTTTTAACAATAAGCCGTTGGATAGATCCAGTGACTTCTCTGACAATAATAAAATTAAAGCATACACATAAGTCTTCCAAAGGAGACAAGAAGGCTGTGAGAGTACCCACACTGAGAGAAAACAGCTGGATTCGCCAGGACACCCTAACCTCCTCTCCTTTTCCAAACAGGACCTTGTGTCTGGCACTTGCATACAAAAAATTCAATTGGTGCTTAGGTTCTGGCTGATGCACAGTAATGGCATATTGTAGCAATATATTGGAGTATGTTAGAATAGAGCACTCAAGGCCAGTCCTGGCACTCAAAAGCATCCTTGTCAGTGAAAAGTTGCCCAGGACTAAAACCCTGAATGAGATCATCTCTCAGTTGTGCTATGGTCATGAGAAGTCAGTCCCAGAAGCCAAATACATGTGAACAGACTGTTGCACCTACTGCTTCCCTAGATTCTTATAAATAACCCAGATCCCAACTTCCAGAGGTCTTCCAGAGCTCCACTCCTTCCTGCTCTGCCAGTATCCATTTGGAATCTATTGACAACTATCTCCTCATTCGCTTACTCAGAGCAGAACCTAAAAACTGAACTGTTATCTGCTTCCAAATGATCCTCATTCCAGAGAGCCCCATAAGGTCCTGGATGTTTAACAATGGTTTACTGCACTTTTCTGTCCTGCCAGAGGACATGCAGGTCTTCTGAAAGTGGCTGGAGAAAGTTGAAGCTTGTGGTCGGCTCATCAGCAACATACACCATCAGTATGAATTCCTCACATGGTACATGATCCTTTATCACACTTGAGGATCTCAGCAGCAGACTGGGCTCCATCCCACCCTGACTGCCACTGTGCAGTCTCTGCTGCAAGCCAGAACAATGCAAGAGGGGAAAAGGAGGGAGTGTAAACAGCTTCGTCTCATTTCTCAGGAACAAGGGAGCTGCAGTGGTTACTGTACATGGGAAACATTCTCCACCATGTGGTGAGGAACAAAAGATTTGAGATTTATAGATTAATAATCTTTTAGGGTCAATAACTCTTTGGGAAGTGATTAGTCTGAAAAGCATCTTCTTTTTCATATATCATTCATCTGACATATTTTTCAACATACTATCTGTGATCATTCCAAATCATAAAGGAATAACCTGTATAAAATCATTTAAAGACACACTGCTGAATTTCTCATTGGGAAAGACTTTAATAAACTCCAGATTCATTTAAAATTCTCTGGCTTCCTTGCTGAATAAACTACTAAAGCCCATGCAAGCCCCCATTAATTACGTTTTTTTTCCATGGGATCTCATGAGTTTGTACTTTCTGAGGGATGTTTTACTGAAGCCAGTTATTCTGGCTCACAAGATTTAACTGGTAAATGTCTTATTTATTAATTTGCATTTACTTTTTACTATCCCGTCATTTCAAAATTGCTTGAAGTGACTATTTTTACGGAGTTCTTAAGCTCATTTGTCATATGGTATTCTGACGGACTGAGGTGAAAAATGGTTTATGTCCAAATTTTATGCCCTTCAATATTGAGGTCTCACCATGATCTCAGAAGGTTCCCATTTTATAATTGCCAGCATAATCCTCAGGTGCAGTAACTTGTCAGATACAAGAAACTATGACACTTTACACCAGCTCAGCATATGTCCTGATTATTTTCTTATTGGTTGTTTTAAAGAGCTCATCCTGCCTAAGCCGCATATTTTCCAGAGGCTTTCAAATAAAAAAAATGTGTATAATCTGTTTTGGTATTATTGATACCTTCTCTATGATGATGATGATCTGCTGACCAAGTCCAGAATTTGTTCTGAGAGTTCCCAGGCAGGCAGACAGGCAATGCATTTGTGAAAGCACAGAATCAAAAATCAGAGCACTGAAGAACCCCAAAAGAAACACTGCTAACTGCTTGGCTACTGGTGAACTATTTTGTTTTAATGGTATGGGCCCACTTAAAAAAATAAATGCATGTATTTTTTGTTGCAAAAGCTTGTAAAATAAAAGTATCACAGCTATTTTTTTCATGAAATTATTTGACTGTTGACACAAAGCATGTACATTTCTGGACAAAAAGTTATAAAATATTCTGACATATTCTAATATAAACAGGAACATTTTCAGTGATTGCTTGGATCTAAAATGTTTTTCCACTTGACATTTGTTTATACTTCCTAGGAAAGAAACTCTATTTATGGATAGCTGAATAACACAAATAAACATCAGAGAGCTGAAAAATCAGCTTTGATTATGCATGAAAATCTACAATGTCATTGTGTACTCTTGTGCTGTATTCTGATTGCCTGTTTATTTTTACAGAGCTGCTGGCGAGCCCATGGAAGAAGAGCCAGCCTTGTGAAGTGCCAAGTCCTCCCTGATATTTCCTGTGGGTGACATCATTGTGTATCCCCCCAAAGCACCCTCAGACATGTCTTGTCTGCTGCTTGGGTGGCACAGATCAGATGGAACATAAACACTGGGCACAAAACTCTGAATAGCAGCTTCACTTGTTCTTTGGATGGACTTGAAAGAGCCCTAAAGATTTCTTAAATGTAACCGCTACAATTCTAGAGTTACAGTAAAACGGGCTTGGGAGAAAGAGCCTAGAGCATGCTTTTTATATGCTGTTTGACCCACTCACCAACATAAATTGTGAAGTAGAGTATTACAAAATTCTACATGATAGATTATAGATATGAGAATTGCAACAGCCAGCAGAATACTCGGTAAACTCCATGAATCACTTTCTGACACTTTTTACTGGGTAATTTTTTTTCATACTGTGTTAAATTGTTAACAGAATTTGTTTTCTTTGCTCTGTGTAATGGAAAAAAACAAAACACCACCTTTACTTTACATGCCATTTTTTAACTCCCTGAAACGAGTTCTTAGCTGAATAAGTGAAAGGTGTGTAAATTACAATGAGGGATTTTAGCTAAAGGGAAAGCACTTCTTCTTGTACTATAAATCCCTGAAGTACTGTGCTTGGTGGTGCTTTATTTTCTTTTCCCTTTTCCTGGCCATCCCTCCCCATTTCATGTAATCTTTTCTATCATAAAAACACATTCACGATTCTCTAAAACGAGCGATCCTCTGCCTTTAAAAAAAAAAGTGCTGTACCCTCCGTAGCTGACAGTAGCTCTCACCATATGTGCAGCAGAGATCAAGTAGTCTCTGAAAAATGGATGGCTTTTCAAACGTGTTTTTAGTTTGTTCTGAAATGTTTCTGCGTCCTGACTCTAAGAGCAGCGATCTTCAGTAAGTGCGTGCAGCTCATTTGAAGCTCAGGTGTTTCTGTGGAGGTTGTGTTGGAGGTGTTTTTTACAGGTCGTCATGTGAATATGAACTGATTCTTTTATGTAGTCCTGCACCAAGAGAACTGATGTTGCTTAAGAAGCTTCAAAGGGTTTAGGCTTTATTTTAGATCCCCAAAGTGCAGCAAGATCTCCCTGCAATGTGACTTTAGCTGTTTAATTCCATGTTTGAGAACGTAACATAGAGTTGTGCCTTTAGCTGATAATGAACGCTTAAACTGTTACACGTGTTGCCTTACCATCAGAGAAAGAGATAGGGCATGTATGTAAGACTACTTCAAATGAACAAAACTCTGCTACAGCAACTTTTATTTTGTTTACAACTTTCTCACCTAATGAACCCTGGGAGATACCTTGAGGTATTCAACTTACAGTATTTGATAGCTCGCTCAGCTTTTAAAAGTGAGTGATGTTCATTTTTATATATTTTCCAAACTCAAAAGATATATTAAAGCCATAAGTGAAGACTGTCATGCTTTTTATTCTGAAATCTGAAAGGAACCTTAATTAAAACAAGATTTTGGGGAAGGCTATGATATGAAAGATATGGAACAATATGGTTTCAGTTATAGGCAGACTCAAACCTGTAAATCAAAGATGAAAGATTTCACTCAAATAGAATTATATAATTCTCTTTTGTTATGCAGTCAGACTATATCTTTCATGCATTTGGGTTTGTTTACGATTAGCATTTTAATTTTAAAGACTTTTATTACTTATACAAAAGCTCTCTGCTACAAGTTAGAAATCTGAGGCATGCTTTGAAAAGGGAAATCTAAAAGAGGAATGTCATTTCCTATAAGTTGAAGAAAACTTTTATTCTGAAAGGCTTACTCTAAAATGGATGTATGCCCCTCGGAAAGAGAAATAAAATTCTACCCCCCATTTACAAGCCAAGATCATGCTCATTTTAGTAATGCAAAGAGTCCCAGCAGGCTAAATTAACTCCTGGTGTAAGCCACCTTGCCTGGCTTTGGGCTGTTCTGAAGGGGTTGTTCACATGACGAAAGCAATCAGGAGTTCATCCTGTATTTTCAGCAGACTTGTGGTGGCAATCTTACCTGCCATTTACTGCAATTTTCTTGTGGTCATCAAAGAAATTTCCCTTCAAGGAAACCAAGGACCATAGCTGGTGAGTTGGGTAATTTGTAGAGCTTTTCACATTTTGAAATAAAGGCTGCAAAATTTTAATTGAGTGCATAGTAAGATCATTTTAAAATTAACCCCACAAATGCAAAATCTGCTGTGTCCTTAGCTTGCATGAAATTGAATATGAATTGCAGCCTGAAATGTGAGTTACAAACTTTACCAATTAAGTGTATGTTCTGGGGTGGAAATCAGCTAAAGCTGTCCTTTGTAGCTGGAAATGTTTTTAAAATGCCAGAATAATTTGAATTAAACCATATTATAAACTCACACTTACGCATTTCTACAGGCATACTCCCGGACAGACATCTAGACATGCTATTGGTTAAGTTAGGATCATCTGGATAAACAAACGTGCAAATAAAATGCACACAGATTATGTCCAGAACTCTGTTCTCACTGAAGTCAAGAGCAAAGTCTGCTTTGATTTCAATGAGAGATGGATCGGACCCTGCTTTCTTTTTCCCTCTAAGTCCAAAGCACCATTACTTTTTGATTATGTCATTACAAGGCACCGTACAGCCCTCTGGGAAATGATTGAGGCTTATGGTGAATATCAACACTTCCTTCAAAGCAGACCTGGGCTTTCTGAGAGGGCAGTTTCACTTGCTGCTGTTTTCTTCTCACAGTATTTTTTATTACCATCAATAGCTCCCCATGGGTTATAGTTAAAATATCTCCCAGCAATTTTAGACATACTTCCAGGGAAATATTCACATAGATGCTCTTAAAAATGCCCAGTTTTAGCTGGATTCAACAACGAATTCCAAGAATTTCAGAAAGATGCATGAACTGTATGTTTCTCCATTTCTGATGTCCAAATTCAGAGGCTTGGAAGCTGTTTTTGAAGAGATGTCACAGTCTAACATCTCCCATGGACCTCAGCTTAGGCTAGGGAGATTGACACTTCTGAAAATTAAGTCCCAGATATTTCAAGCTGGCTGCCAAAACTATCTACATCGAGCTTAGATTACTTCTAAAAATGAGATGAAATGCATAAATGCAGTGGGTTAGTGGTGGTTTCTCTGAGTGATTCCATGAAGAAGGTGAAGCTGAGGATGTGGCAGAGAGCCCTTGGAGCCAGGGTGTCCCTCTGCCTGGTGCTGGTGGCACAGGCTCTGCATACAGGCGGGAGGGCATCCCACAGCACCGCCACCCCAGGCTGCCAGTGCTGTTGGCAGTAAATCTTTGTCTCGCAAGGGAAGCATGCAGGAATTTGCACTCTGCCTCTGGATCCACGTGTCCCTAAGCCACCAACCTCCAGAATGAGAGATGCCTCAGTAGCAAGTGCCAGTAAAATGCTTGCTCCGGTTCATACTCTGCCCTAATGTTAGGGACCAAATAAAAGCTCAGTGGGGCTTTTCTTGTATTTTTCTTGTGTTCTTGGGTCATTAAATACTTTTGTCATATTCTTAGGTCCTTAAATTCATATTAGAAAATGAAAACTAAAAAGAGATACGACTAGGATATCAAGAAAATAATATTTTTTATGCAGCTTAATACTTTTACCTGGGCTGGAGTGGAAAAATGATGAACATTAAATCTCAGAACTGCTAAAACCTAAAAGTGTCTTGCACTTCATTTTTGGACTCTGTGTGCAGGAATTCTGTATGTGCTCATTTTGCTTTAATGTAATCTGCAGCAATGAAGTGATTGATTATATGATGTTTTTTCAGGCAAAATTCCTAGCGAGTAATCAAAGTTCATGGGAATTTTGCCAGTGTAAAGATGACAGAATTAGTCCCTTTTTTAATTATGTACCTTCCTAATTTTACTTTCAGTAAAAATGAAGTAACTAATTCCAGGCAAGTGAATCTGGGGAAAGTAAAATTATTAAGCTATCTTAAATAAACATCATAAAAGAAAAAGAAAATATAAACAGCTATTATGCAAACAAAGATGGCTATTTCTTTACTTTGCAAAAAAGTCAACAACATGCTGCCAGCTGCAAGAAAGTGGCAAAATGGATCCCTCTCTAGAGTATGGGGTATTTGAGTTGGTGTCTTATCTAAATGCAACCTCCCTAAAAAGATGAGAGTCATAACCGGAGATGAAATATTAGAAAGATTTTGCTGCAGCCAACACCAGAGGTCCTGTAGAGAACAAGAATGTAGAGACTGACTAATTTGTGTAGACAGACAGCAGGACACTTTTAGGGCAGTGTGTCTGGGACAAAGAATGAGAGGGAACTTTTCCAAAGGCACTGATGGCTGTGAGGCAACTAACTTCTATTAGTTTGCAGGGGCAAGGAGCATTTATTCTTTGGGAAATGTCCCCTCTGTCCCACAAGCATGCCCACAAGGATGCAGACATGAACCTTGCTGTACAATTTTATGTCCTAAGCAGCAGCACCCAGGTGTACTGCCCTGACGTGTATGCTGTGCATTTGCCCGAGAAACTATCAGTCCCCATCAGACACTTCATAACATGACTGATAGGGGAGATTTTTCTAATTTTTTTTTCCAATAGTTGCCTTTCCAGAAGTGTAGCAGTGCATGGTTGTTTTATTTTAAAAGGTCACAATAGAGCTTTGTGAAGAATTGTACTTTTCTTTTTTTTTTTTTTTTTTTTTTTATACATGGGGGGAAACCTGATGGGAAAGAATTTCTCTTAGATCAAGCTTCTGCTACCTGCTTTTTATGCTGGATTTGGAGGAGTTTGGGTTTTTAATTATCATTTAAGCTTTTACTTATGTCATTTGCTTTGTCTTTTTACCTATAATTGAATTCACCCTCATAGCACATAGAAAACCATCAAAAAAGTTGCTTTGTCTGACAGATGCCTCTGCCTTTGGTGTGGGAATGAGAATAGCTTATCTTTGCCACTTCTAGCACCAATTAAATGCTTCATTTTTGTGACAGATCCAAACTGGAGTGGTATTTTATGAGTACGATTTAGCTGGCTGTCTGCTGGTTGTTAAAAAAAGAAATTGTGAAACTCACATTCCTCTCTAACCTCAAAAGGGACCCATTTTGATTTTAACAATGTAATATTTTCACTTGATCCAAAAGGTTTTTGTCCCATGACATCTTGTTACTAACTCAGTTTTAGTCTCTAGCAAATAACACATCACAGAGAGTGAAGACCGAAAAGGACGTTCCAGCAACTGTTAATCATAACTCTTCTGCACAGTCCTTGATCCTGCTCTAATCCCATGCTTGGTGATTCAGCATATTAGAATAGTTTATAGCAAAATATAAATTGTTCTTTGCCATCAAAGATACTACCACTTGGATGTTAATTATCACACCATGAGTTGGGCTGTAAAGTATAAGGAAGACATACTCCTGTGTGGATGGTCTAAAGGCAAGTGACACATGAAAGCAATGGCACTGGTACTGTACAGTAAGAGTGATTCTGTGCTAAGATCTCCACACATTATTCCCTTCCCAACGGTACTCCTGCATAGCCAGAGACACATTTGCAATAGCGGAGCCATAGGATGCCCTGATTCAAAGACCAATGAAATCCCTTCTATAGCAGGCTATGGGTAAGATCTGTGATGCAACTAGAGAAGAAACCTTAACTTTGCACTCAGCCACATATAAACCGTAAAAAAATCTCAGATAAAGATCTGAACTTGGCCACACATTCCGGTTTCTGATATGAAGTGCCAGTTCTGCTTCTAGAAAAGTCTGTCTGAAAGAGCATTGACAGTAGTGGATATATCCTGTTGGCTTCAGGAGGGTGTATATGTCATGTGTTACAGGAACAGGTTCATATTCATGTCTCTTGCTGCTTAGTTTACTGCTCTTTTAAATTTCTTGACTGGCTTAATATTCCAAGCTAGGATGCAGTAGGAAAGCATAAAGCAATACCTGTTGAAGTCATAACTAAAGCTTTCAAAGCAAACTTATTGCCGTGGGTTTTTACAACACTGACTTTTTGGTCTAGGGATGCACAGCTGAAATGTCTATTTTTTTCTTGGGAAATTGATGTTGCTATCTGTTTCTATGATAAAAACCAGTCCTTTTGCTCAGAACACTAAAAGTTTATCTGTAATTTGTATTTCCAGGCAGATCAGATTCTAAGGGATAAAGCATCAGTGGGACTGACCCAAAGGGCAACATTTTTAAAGGTCAATAGTAATATTTCCATAAGAGTAAAAGGAACCTGTGGATTATTGTTATTATTCCTGATACATTTTTGTATCTGAAAGCATCCAATGAGTGATGTTAAGTAATATTGTGCTCCAAAACTTTGTTGATTATAGGTATACAAGCATTGGATTGGCGTGAAATAGTCTTCAACCAAGTTGTTAAAATCCCTTTTGTTTCGTGTTTTGTATAATTCTTT